CTAATAATCGGCTCAGTCATTTTTAATGATCGTTGAAAGCCCAGATCCTAATCGTGATTAAAATTCGATTAATTGAGCAGCCCTATGAAATACTATTTTTTTGTTTTTAGCAGCCATGTAATTTTAACTACACACAACAGTTTTTAGTGGTAAAATTTTTCAAAATACATAATTTCAGAGAGATCATTATGCAGTAGCTACGTTTTAAATTTTTTTAGTAGTTCAGTTTAATTTATTTGCAGCAGGGTTGCAAAAAAACCAAACAAACAACCAAGAAAAAAAAAAAAAAAAACATACCTGCGGCTCATCTTTTTTTCTTGCTCCTCTTCAATGGGCTCTGCCACTTTCTCTCCACCCTTTTCCTTCTTTAGCTTTTTACTTATGAGCTCTCTGATCTTCTCTTTCTTCTCCGAGTCATATTCCTCATCTGTGTCCATGTCGTCCTCAACATCATCATCAGCCTCGTCACCTGACTGGAGAAACACATCAAACACTTAACGCTGATACTTCGCCTCTGAGTGCAAATGGAGGAAAATCTAAAAGACTTACCAAAGCTGCATCACCAGATGCAGATGCTTTTTTCTTCTTACCCCTGTGAGCAGAGCAAACATAGGTTCAGACTTTTTAATAATTCAAATTTAAAAAGGAAATTAAAATAGTTTTATAACTATTAATGAATTACTTATCAACTGCTGGAACAGAGCTCAGTCTGGGATCATCTTTCAAAAGGTCATGGCTGCTTTTGCTTTTTCCCTTGAATGTCTATTTAAAAAAAGAAAAGAAAAATGCCCAGACAACAGTTGTCTATGTACTTTTTGAAATTTTTTAATATTTCTAATATACACCTAGTTATGATGTGTGAGTGGCACAAGAGTAAATGTCAGAGGTGCCCACATATAATGGTTTTATGATCCAGTACCTGGCTGACTTGGTTCACCATCTCCTCATCTTCTTCAGCTTCCTCTCCAAATGATAAAAGACTGAAATTCCTACAAAACACACCAACATGGGTAATTGCAGGGAAATAACATATTGTTATAAATCTTTATCAATAACATTATTGGCACTAAAAATAAATTAAACATGTAGCAAACAGTAATGAGTTTAAAGAGGACCTATTAAACTTTTTACCTCTAGTTCAGGCTATCATTCAGGTTCTTCAAAGAGAGGCCAAATATACTGGACCTGCCAATCTTTGCATTCAGGTGTTTTAAGTCACATTGCCACAGGTGTATGTAAGCCATGCAGTCTGCCTTCACAACATATGTGAAAGAATGGTCGCTCTAAAAAGCTTCATGACACGGAGCATAGACCTGAATTAGGATCAGCAAGTTCGTTTGTGAAATTTCTTCCATCCAAGATATTCCATGATCAATTGTAAGTGGCATTATTCCAAAGAGGAAGGCTTTAGGAACCACAGCAACTCAATCACAGCGTGGCAGACCATATAAAGTTACTGAGATGCTGAGGCACAATGCATGTAATCATCAATGCTCTGCTGACCTAGAAACTACAGAGTTCTCAGCCTCACATCAGCACAATTATGACGTGCTACTGGCTTCGTGGCATGGGTTTCAATGGCCGATCAGCTCCTGTAGATGTAGCGTGTAAGTAGCCAGACACTTTTGTCCATATAGTGTATAAACCAGAGCCAAAGTTTCAAATAATAATAATAATAATGATGTTAGCACAGGTACAATAAATCCCTAGGAGCCAAGAGACCAAAAGCAGAGGTTTCATACTGACCTAAGCAATCTATGTGAATATATTGTTTTCTAACATTTTAACACCAACATATACACAAAACACCAAAGATCAGGGATAACAGCACATACACCAATCAGGCATTATGGCCACCTGCCTAATATTGTGTCGGTCAGTCCCTGACTCGACAAGACTGCTGAAGGTGTGCTATGGTATCTGGCACCATGATGCTAGCAACAGATCCTCTAAATAGAATTTGGATGCCAAGTCAACACTTAAAACTCACTGTTGTGCTTCTTGTCCTCACACCATTTTTGAAAAATGAAACAGGCCTGATTGTAGGTGTAATGCAGGTAAACGATGCACATCCACGTAATTCATCAGACCAGGCCACCTTCTTCCATTCCTCTGTAGTTCAGTACTACTGCTTGGTGCTTTCTGTGGTGGACAGGGGTCAGCATGGGCATGCTGACTGGTCTGTGCCTATGCATACACAACTGTACAGTGTATTGTGATTCTATCAGAAACAGCAATACATTTTTGGCAGTTTGAGCTACGGTATCTCAACTGTTGGATTGAAACACGGGCCAGCCATCACTCGCGCCTCAATAAGCCTTATAAGCCAGGCCGCCAATGACACTGACCACTGCATATTTTTCCTGCTTCTAACATCAATTGGGGGGAAAAAGTTAATTTTCTGCCTAACATATCTCACCTACTAACATGTACCATGATGATAATCAGTGTGACCACTTTCAGTGTTATGCCTGATCGGTGTATGAGAAGCATAAACAGCAGCTATAGTGGACACTTTCACTGTTTGTAAACACTTGATTTCACTTCAGAATAACTTTGTGGTCTATGACCTCTGTAGTCTTCTGGCAGGTGATAAGCTAAAGGAGCAACAACACTGGGGGTAACTAAAAACATTGGCATATAGAATGGGTTACCTTAAAGGTTCAACCTTTTTTACATAAATGATGAACCATAGACCAAGGTCCAGTATAAGACTCAGTATAAGACAAATGAGTAATATTTTACACTGTGAATCATGCAAAGCTACTCTAGTAAAGTGCAAGAAAATATATATCTATATATAGATATGGAAATAAGCATAATATATTCCCTTATGTACAAAAATGCAGGTGCTCCTGGGTACAGTCTTGATCTTGTTTCAATCAGAAAGACAGATGAAGACCGAGCACTCACTTTGTGGCTTTTGACTGTGATTTCTTTGTCTCTTCTTTATCCTTTTCCTTTTTGAGTTTCTTTATTTCACGAGGTATGATGTCATCAAATGGAGAATGTAACACCTAGGACAGACAAAAAGAAAAGCTTAAATTACAGAAGCTAGATAAACATATTGCTGAGCAGGTAAAATAGAATGAACTAAAATACCTCAGCAGATTTGATCTTGTGAGGATTCAGAGGTCTTTCCTCACCATCACACTCAACTTCTGCTAATCTGAGCATGTTATACACGGTGTCTCCAGTGACCTGGAGTGGGGATTGCAGAAAATAGAAATGGTCAGGCACACTCTTAGCACATCCTGCCTGGGGAAAACGCCACTCATCTTGGTATATTCATATATTCATTGAAGACAGCATTCAATCATGAATACAGATAGAGAATAAGTCATCACGTTCTTACAGATTTACCTTGCCAAATATGGTATGTTTATTGTTGAGTTCATCTGCACGTCCCAAGGTGAGAAAAAACTGACTGCCATTGTCATGTGGCCCTGCATTTGCCATGGCAACCAAACCCCTCCGATTGAAGCGCAACCTAGAGTGAAACTCATCCTGAAAGGCGAAAGAAAGTTTAGAAGACATCGTATTTTAGTGTCACCTGCTCATAGGAATTAGAAATCCACTTCAGAATTAAAAATAAAATGAGAAGAAAAGCAGCCTCACCTTGAATGGTCGGCCATAGATGGACTCTCCGCCTGCCCCTGTCCCAGTAGGATCTCCCCCCTGAACGATGAAATCAGGCACCACTCTGTGGAACACTGTACCATCATAATAACCTAGAAGATCAAGACATACTGTATACTAAATAAACAATAAGGCAACAACAGTTCCCTCAAGAAATCTGAGCCAACAAGGACATTTAAATAAAGACAGTGCTCATCTGAATATAGTTTCTGGGATTAAATAAAGTCTTATGTACACTCATAACAGCCATTTCTCTGCTTACAAGAATTATATAAGTAACGATGGCTAAGACTCAACATTTATTCACATTTAGTCCATCAATAATCTTCAAAATAAGATAAAAATATGACACTTACACACATCATGGCCTAATGCTTAAAGAGGCTAGTTTTACCAAACCAATATATTTTAAGGGCACGCCTGGAATAATTCGGCCTAATTTAGCGCAAACTGAATTTGACGTTGTTCTCCAGTGGTTTCTGCACTTCCTTGGTGAATTCTTACCTTCCATGCACAGCTGCACGAAGTTCCTGCATGCTTTAGGAGCCTCCTTGGACCACAACTCAATGTCAATATCACCTGCTGTTGTCTTTAACAGGACCTGCGAAAAGACCACGAAATTATACATTCGGAGCTAAACAGTGTTAGGAGTGGCTAGCTAATGGTGCCTACAAATCCGCAACATTATGCACGAAAAAACTGAAGTTCAAATTGTAAACTGGCGCTTACCTTCCCATTTGTTGGTGGCTCTTGAATGTAAATGTTGCTCATCCTGTCGCTACGTTTCTGTGTTTTGTTAGCAGAATAAAAATATATTCTCACACGATCTGAACTTTGGGTTCCTCGAAAATACAAATAGTAAAGTTTGTTACAGTAGGTAACTTTAAATGTGATACACTTCACATTTCACTCTTTACAGCCATATTGGCGATACATGAGTTGATTGTTTACTTCCGAGAACATAGGGGGTTTCGGTTTAATTATTGATTTTCTGTTCAGTCTTTTTCAAAGAACGTCACTTAATTTGTTTTTTTCTGTTTCCATAAAATATATAAAAACCTTTTATTCGCACGTGAATCAAACTCCGAGAGTGTTGATGACAAAACAATCCAAAACTAGCTCGGTACTTCACCCCGAGAAACAGATTTTTGGATCGCTCCTAGTGCGCTATCACAACAGCCCCTCTGGAAACAACACGTTCCGTGTAATTACAGCGTAATCTCATTAATCCTAATAATTATGCATTCTTGAGAAAAGTGAGACACATAAGATGTTGTTTATAATTAATAATTGTAGAATTTTAGCAACTTAGACTTGAGACAAAAACAACTGCACAAAGAAATCAGAGATTTAGGCGCTGAACGGAAGTACCGTATTTACGGAAGGACCACACGGGCGATCATGGCAATGGCGGCTACTGAAAAGAATGTGGAACTGAAGCGCAAAGTAGATGATGATCATGATGGAGACGGGGACGAAGAAGATGCCGAGTGGGTTGGACCCATGCCAAGCGAAGCCACAAAGGCAAAGAAAAGGAAAGGTGGGATTCTGGCTGTTCATTCGGCACACTGGCAGCTTTTTGCGACTGCTCTCTAATCACTGCTAATAAAGCGCCAAACGCCGTCCGTTAACTTCTGTGTGTATTTGTTTCTCTCAGTACTCGAGTACGAGCGTGTCTATCTGGACAACCTCCCGTCGGCTGCAATGTATGAACGGAGCTATATGCACAGGGACGTCATCACACACTTAGTTTGTACAAAGTAAGTCAGCAGCTACAAGGAAACGTTCCTTTATACGTGAGGAAGCGTTTCCACTTTACAGCACTACTCGCTTACATCCAGCTTATTAAACCGCCTTAATAAAAGCGATGCAATGTTAAAATGCCTAAACTATCAATTATTAGTATTGCCAGCATACTTCATATTCCAGGATTTTCTTTGTGCTGATCCAGTGTTAGCATTCATGCTTGTACCAACGTGAAAGTCGACCTAAAATGGTGACGTGTATGATACCATCACCTGGGAAATCTAAACGAAGCACCAGAATTTAGTAATTCTTTCATTTAAGAGTGGGCAGCCGTTTTAATAATTATTATTGATGTATTTTCTGTCATTCCAGTGACAAGGCATGCCAATTTCCTGCAGCCTTCTGTTTATAGAGGAACCTTGCAGGCTGTATTACATGTTATTAGTTGGTTGTGTCTGTTCATTGTTTGTTTGAAAAGCCACTGAGTGCTGTATCTGTAATAACAATGAAGTTCCATCAGCTGATATAAGCTGTGTTGTTTGCTGTTGACCTGTGAGCTTGTAAGATGACATTTTATCAGTAATGGCTAACATTTATCTGTTGGGTCTTATCACTTTTAGCCTGAAAGTGTATTATTGTATTATTATCTGTTTCCCTGGCATAAATTGAATGACAACCCCCCCCCCCCCCCCAAAAACAAAACAGGCAAACAAAGAGAAACTTTGATGCATCCATATTCGCAATCCTGATTTTTTTATTTTCTCTTTACTTCAGATAAAGATTGTCTAACTCCATCAGTAGATGGGATGTGGATGGGAAAAGTGGGCTGAAGCTGAAATAACACCATAACTTTGTGCTGTTTCAGGTCAGACTTCATCCTCACTGCCAGCCAGGATGGCCATGTCAAATTTTGGAAGAAGAAGGAGGACGAGGGGATAGAGTTTGTCAAACACTTTCGAAGTCATCTCGGTATGAACTTAATTTGTGATAACTTCTTTTTAACATTCTTAGTGGCACTGGACTGAGAGGAGGTTATGGAGACCTGGTGCATTGTATCTTATAATATAACATGTCTTTAATGAGTGAAAAGGATGTGTATAAACACTGTTCTTGCTTTTTGCCCAGGTGTGATCGAAAGCATTGCGGTCAGTGCGGAAGGGGCCCTTTTCTGTTCCGTTGGTGATGATCAGGCCATGAAAGTATTTGACGTGGTCAATTTTGACATGATCAATATGCTGAAGTTGGGGTGAGTCTAAATGAAGATTTTCTGGCCAGACACAATAATGTTTTTACTGCTGATAGATTTGGAGTGCAAGTTCTCCTTTAATTTGATTGGTTTCTCTACTGTGATCTGTCTATATGTAGCTTTCATCCAGGCCAGTCTGAGTGGATCTATAATCCTGGAGATGCCATCTGCACAGTAGCCTGCTCAGAAAAGTCCACAGGGAAAATCTTCATCTATGATGGCAGGGGAGGCAACGACCCCCTCCATGTCTTTGACAAAATGCACTCCGCACCGCTTTCCCAAATCCGCCTGAATCCCAAGTTTCGAGTCATTGTGTCTGCTGACAAAGCGGGAATGCTGGAGTACTGGACAGGCCTTCCAAATGAATTCAAGTTCCCCAAACATGTGGATTGGGAATACAAAACGGACACTGACTTGTATGAATTTGCAAAACACAAAACCTATCCCACCAGCCTTGCCTTTTCCCCCGATGGGAAGAAGATGGCCACCATCGCTTCTGATAGGAAAGTCAGGATCTTCCGATTCCTAACAGGAAAACTAATGCGAGTGTTTGATGAATCATTAACGGTAACCTGCCATTCCCCTTTCAGCCTGGATCATTGCTAGCGTTATGAATTTTGCACGCCAATCACAGCTGCTATATGTGTGTTAGATGTTCACAGAGCTGCAGCAGATGAGACAGCAGCTTCCTGACATGGAGTTTGGGAGGCGGATGGCTGTGGAGAGAGAACTAGAGAAGGTGGATGGTATTCGGCTGGCAAACATCATCTTTGATGAGACTGGCCACTTTGTTCTGTATGGGACCATGCTGGGCATCAAGGTCATCAATGTGGAAACCAACAGGTATGCTCACAAATGAAGGTGGAGACTGAATCACAGTTGTGTTTCGTAATAAAATAATGTTTAAGAGATGTAAATGAGTATTTTAATTGTAGTATACAAACTAATGAAGTCAAATGTGATAACGTCACATACAGAGTTATATAGACATATAACTCTCGAGCCCTGTGTTTCTTGTTTTCTAGATGTGTGCGGATCCTTGGGAAGCTGGAGAACATCCGTGTGGTTCAGCTGAGTTTGTTCCAAGGTGTTGCAAAGGCCATGCAAGTGGCACCCACTGTGGAGATGAAAGCTTCTGACAACCCTGCCTTACAGAACGTAGAGCCTGACCCAACCATCTTCTGTAGTGCTTTTAAGAAGAACCGCTTTTACTTGGTGAGACAGAAAGGCATTCATTTCAAAGTGACAGCGCTGCATTTTTTCCTATCTTACTATAAGTTTTTTGTCGTCTCTTTTTGAAGTTTTCGAAGAGAGAACCAGAGGATACCAAGAGCGCCGATTCAGACAGAGACATCTTTAACGAGAAGCCCTCAAAAGAAGAGGTGATGGCCGCCACGCAGGCCGAGGGCCCCAAGAGAGTGTCTGACAGTGCCATCATCCACACCACTATGGGAGACATCCACATCAAGCTTTTCCCTGTGGAGTAAGTCCTCAGTGTGAATGCTTTTGGCTCCTCCTTTCACTTTAGAAGACAGGAACAGAACTTTTCCTCTCTTTGGTTTTAGATGCCCCAAAACTGTGGAGAACTTCTGCGTCCACAGCAGGAATGGATACTACAATGGCCACATATTCCACAGAGTGATCAAGGTACGTTGTCCTTTTTCTTTATGAAGCTTGGCGATCAACTGTGGGATTCTGGCTCTGAGTGTTTTTCTCTTTGTCGTTGACAGGGCTTCATGATTCAGACTGGAGACCCCACAGGAACAGGCATGGGAGGAGAGAGCATCTGGGGAGGGGAGTTTGAAGACGAGTTCCACGCCACGCTGAGACACGACCGCCCATACACACTTAGCATGGCAAACGGAGGCCCGGGCACCAATGGCTCACAGTTTTTTATCACCGTGGTACCCACTGTAAGTAGCCCAACTAAAACCACTTTCAGACGTGTATTTTATCATCGTGTGAATAAGATGTCAATTTACTTTTCTGAAAAAGTATGACAGCTACATGTAAGATGGTGATATTACCATTTCAAACTTATAATTAGAATTATGGTAAAAAGAAGATTATATAAAGTACACCCTTTATTGGCTCTAAGATTTTTATTTAACAGGTCATAATAAAAAGAATTTAGGTAATTGGGTAAATTAGCTCAAAACAACCGCAGACGAAGAACAAAATATGACACTGTCTCATATTCATTTAACAAATCTCAGGACTTATGGTCATAATGTGTCAGGTTTGGTGAAACCAAATGGCATGGCAGCGCAAACCGCTCACATCAGCTCCTAAACATGTAATTGGTGAGGTGATGGTTAGACCTGGGCATCTTTCAGCCATTCACTTGACTGTGAAACTTCTGTGTAAACCAAAGTTATTCTAGAGTCAAATGTGAAGCCATCTGTCTGACAGCTAAAGTGAAAGTGGGTTGTGCAACAGGCAAATGATCCCAAGCACAGTGGCAAACCTACTACAGAATGACTAAAAAGAAAAGAATCAAGGTGTTTCCATGGACCACCCAAAGTCCACACCTCAACCTGCTTGAAATGTTGAAAGGTTGTATTTACCGAAGTGCTCATAACACCTAGATATGTTTTATTACATCTTGATATGTAAAACCTTAAAAATTCCTGTGCACTTTCCTTTCACCATAACTACAGATGAAGTCATTTTTAATTTATATTAACACACCGTTTGCAATGCAGCAGAAAATGCAGGATTCAGCAAAGTCTGGTGTCGCTCCTGGAACAGCATCAGTGTCAGCAATCTTGTAACGTTACATGTAAATGACCAAGCACAGTGTTGGGTTTCATTCTGTTTCTGTGTAACATGGCAACAGTAAACACGAATACTGTCAGGCACTCAGAGTGTAACGGAAGCTGGTGCATCACATTTACCAAAGTTTTCAAAATCCACAACATCACTACATGAGCCAGACTCACGGTTTAATACGCAAATTATTCTAAATGGGGGGTGAAGTTTGAGATAAAACAAAACTATATTAGTTCTCTTTTTTTAATTTTGAGTTTGTTTGTTTTTTATATATAGTTTTCAATTGACTTTTTATGAATTGTTAGTTTGAGTCTTTTTGTTGTTATATGGGGGATTTTTTCTCAGGATAAAGATTCTGTGTTGACTCTATGCAGAGCTTACTACACATAATGGGTAATCAGCATTTATACCTGTCTTGCTTTGCAGTTTTGGTGCCAAAACTCTAGTTAGCAAATCTCTTCCAGTCAATTTAAAAGTATGGGGAGAAAATATTTACCAGACATGAATAGGAGTAAACAATGACATTGCAGGCTGAACCAAACCACATGTAGCTACAGTTGTCAGAAGAGCAGGGCAGGTTATTGAGTAGTTACTGGTGTATGCTTGAGAAGGTTTGCACTTATAACATAGTTTCAGCATTGGTTTAATGCAGAAACAAAGAATCCACCTAAGTCTCGATAAATGTGCACCAAAGCCTCATTTTGCAGGTTGTGTTGACAGATTTGATCTGACTAAGACTTAAATTTGGTTAGTTTGGGGTTAGTTCTATCCATCCATGCATTTTCTTAGCTGCTTAACAGTTGAAGGCTCTATATGGTATTTAAATGGGAAGGAAGGACTCTGAAATAGAAAGAAGACCTGAGAGTGCAAATGGCAGCAGCTCAGAGAGGTACTGTGGAGTGAGGTTGTGAATCTCCTTAAATGCGAGGAGCAAAATCTTGTAATCAAATCTACCAGAAGTTGGTGGAGCTGCTGAAGGACGGCTGTGGTGTGACCAATGGAGTTTTGGTGATGATGCAAGCAGTGGTTGAAGTTGTATGGACATTAGAGGAAGACAGAAAAGAGAGTTAGAGTAACCAAGGTGTAAACAAGGATGGCAGTACTGTTAGGTAAGACATACATATTTTTGGACTGTGGGATGAAGCCAGAGTACCCGGAGAGAGTGTGCAAACAGCATACAAGAAGGCTCCACCCAGATGCTGAATCCAAGCCCTCTCGATTTGACGGTGCTAACCTCTGCACCACCCTCGTTTAACTTAGTTGTGTTTTTCAAATGTCTTGCTTTTTGCCTTTTATTTAACTAAAATGCTTTTTATTTAGTTAAGGATAATGACCTCGGTCAGCAATGGACAACAAGTGCTTATAAGATCAACATATGTGTGATTTTTTTTTTTAAATTTCTTTATGTGCTTCTGTTTTTCTGCAGCCCTGGCTTGACAACAAACACACTGTGTTTGGGAGGTGCACTAAAGGCATGGAGGCAGTCCAGAGGATCTCCAATGCCAAAGTCAACCCGAAGACTGACAAGCCATATGAAGACATCAGCATTATTAACATCACCATAAAGTAATTGTATGCCTTTGTCATGTAATGTACAGCGATTTATTAAAGAAGACCAAATGTTGTTATAAGAGTGTCTCCAGTTTACATGTCAAAGTATCATCGGGCAAGATGCTGAACCCTGAGTTGCCCCGATGCGTGTGTGCGTGTGTGCGTGTGTGTGTGTGTGTGTGTGTGTGTGTGTGAGAGAGAGAGAGAGAGAAAATGATAGACAAGTGCTGTGTGACTGTGTGAATAATATTTCTAGTAAGAAGTGCTTTGAATGTTCATCTTGAGGTGTTTTTTAACCATCAGTCACTTTACCAGTCGAATAAATTTATTATAGAGCATCACATTATGTATAATTTACAAAAGCCATATTCAAGTCCACTGGTAACAAAGGTTTCAATGCACTTTGTGCTTCTACGTTTCCAAAAAAACCCAAAACAAATTGAAATGATGTCGCAAACTATGCGTCAAGGCTTTTCACACGTGCATTTTTCTTTTTGTAGTTGTTTAAATATTTTTATACATAAGTACAAATAGTTAACATTACATAGCAATGAATAAAGATCAAACTTAAATGATGGTTCCTCAATAACAAGACAAGTGTAAGTGTTAGGTTTAACGTTTCACTACTTTCACATTACAGAATTACTGAAGGCTGATTACCGGTGTACCATCTTAAAAGCACTCCAGAAAAACGAAAACATAAAAAAAACTTGTGTAGGATAGAGGAATATTTTCACACCTTTTTTTTTTCCTTTCGCACTGAGCTTAACACTCATAGTCTACTTAAGAAACAGCAGGTGGTTCATTTGCTTTCAAATGGAAACTCTGGAGCGAGGCGGCAGACGAGTGCAGTCGACAAATTCTGCGTGCAGTACGCTCAACAAAACGGAGGCAGAGTCGGTGCATTTAAAAACTCTGATTTTCTTTTTTTTTAACCCACAACAGCTTGTATCAAAGTAAAGTCTGCTCGTCCCGCTCATCAGTGAGCTCAGTAAACAGTTGCTTAGTAACAGAAAACACTACATTCAAATCAAACCTTACCAGCTGTGGCTTTTAAATATGTTCACACTCTTAAAAACAAAACAAAAGACTTTGCACACAAAGATCCAAAGAAAAAAATCAGCTGCTATTGCTTACGGTAGATGACCAGGCAAAATCTGAACGTTAGACTGCTTGAAGCCACTGTGTTCATTTAAAGTAGACCTATTATGCTTTTCCTTCCTTTCTGCTATTTGTATGTTATTGGTGACATTATAATAAGTTTGGCTCTTTATTATGCCAGCGTGAGAGGATATCCTAATATGGTCATGGCAGGCATACAGTTGTGTAATGTGTAAGGGTGTGAATCAGAAGAAAACAGCTTGTTGCAGACGTGTGGCAGCCAAAGAATCCTGAATTGAAATCTATGGAAGGAAGTGGAATAACTAGAACTTCCATGGGGGAATAAAAAGCTTTTTGAAACCTTACTTTGGAGCAAAGTCCAAGTGGTGGGGCAGACTGTCACCAAAGCCCCAGTATAAGATGACTATGTAGTATTCTGATTTGAGAATCATGCAAAGCTACTCCAAATTTAATCCAAGACTAAAATTATGGAACTGAAAGTGTGCATAAGAGGTCCCCTTTACACCATAACAATGTTTCTGTTCCATCTCACTTAACCTGCAAGTGTACTGGAATAAACTGAAAGGGGACTAAAGTCAACAGTCAGGACGATTTGAAGCGCACTAAAAAGCATACATAAATGATACTATCATCACAACATGGACCGGTGTGCATTTAGTTCAGTTCAAGGTCACATATTTGGAGGGTTATGGTGAGTTAACATGTGGGGTAGAAAAAACAGACACAGTTCACTTTGTCAGGGCACAAGGAGCATGTCTAACATTTAACTGGACCTAAGTTCAAAAGCTATAAATGCCAGATAAACAGCTCATCACCTAAACTATGAAGAAAAAATGAAGTGTGTAAGCCACATGAAGGCATAAAGCAGGATGGGAGGACGTAGTCTCAACTCAGGATTTAGGTCCAGTGACTATTTCTCAGAGGTCGGGAGTTGCAGGAAGGGCAGGCTTGAAGACATATTTGTAGTTCCCATATTACGAAGCTAGAGAAGATATATACGTCTTTTGTTTTCTTTGCCGACAATGGTGCTCAGAGATGGAAAGGTGGAGAAGTCGGGTTTAAAGCTGCAGCCTTGTAGTGAAGCTCATGTTAAAACGTTTTTGGAGAACTGATGAACCAGGCTCAGAGGCTGGGGGTTTGTGTTCAGATTTCAGGGGGTTGGGGGGGAGAGTGAAAAGAGTCCGCATGTGGAGGGAGGCGGCATTTAGGCGACGTCCAGGACGCCGGCAGCTACCAGCTGTCTGGAGAGCCAATCCAGCCCCTCGTGGAGGCCCATCCCGCTGCGGGCGTCACAGCCCTGAATGTGCCAGCTCCTCCCACAGCACAGCTTGTGCAGACTTAGCAGCTCCGTCATCTCCTCCACAGACACAGCGCCGGGAACGTCCTGTAAAGTGGACAGGTGATGCAACCTGGCATCTGAGCTTAATCAAGATTACGTGTCTTTTTTTTTTTTTTTTACACTACCTGTTTATTTGCAAAGATGAGCAGCAAGGCATCTCGCAGCTCCTTCTCTGTCAGCAGTTTGGCCAGCTCACTGTGGGCCTCCATGAGTCTGTCCCGGTGGCAGCTGTCAATCACAAACACCACCGCTGCACAAATATGAGAGTTGAAAGAAAGAGATTTACCAATAGTGGTCTGTACACCTTTCTCATCAAGACTGACAACAACTATGGCTATGGGTACAACGTTTTGTACATGTAGCACTAAAAGGCTGACACCACCCCTCTTCTGTTAAGAGCAGTAGGTGCTTTCTCCCCAGTGCAGCCATAGTAGGCTCAGTTCAGAACAGTTAGATTGCGGCTTCTGTCTACATCTGGTTTTCTGTTAAAGCAGACCTATGATGCCTTTCCCTTTCTTCCATCATACAAATGCTGTGAAGGGTGATGCTCGTATAAATGTGACAAAAATAAATTCAAATATTTCCTATGAGCTAAAAGTTCAGACTTCATTAGCATCACCTCCCAGGGTGACATCAGCAGGGGGGAAACCCTCACATACTCCGTGGACCTCCAGCAACGGGAAAGCAGTAGCGATGGGCTGAGGGTCTGTCTCTGCACAGCATTGTGGCCAAATCATTGCGCATCACAATTTCTCCTTGTGCTGTAGCAGCCTCACACAGCAAAGGGTTGCTGCCCAACAGGTTAGCCTGGCAAGCTAGCCTGCAGTGGAGTAGTTTGCATGGAAAAGCCACACAGTGGATACACTCATGAGTGGATGTCAAGACGGCCCAAACATGCAATAAGCCTGGGCATCCCTCACTTTCTCCAAACAGCACCACTTTACCGCCATACTTATCAATGCTCTTGTCACATCTTGTTTATATTATTATAATCTTCTCTATGGTCTACCTCATAAATCTCTCCATAAACTGCAGTTAATTCAAAATTCAGCTGTTCGTATTGTATCCAGAATTAGATCCACTGAACATATAACAACAGTTCTTAAACAGCTCCATTGGCTTCCAGTTCACCTACAAATCAATTTTAAGATCCTCCTTCTTACTTTCGAAGCCCTTCATAACCTCGCTCTTCCATATTTATCTGATCTTTTCCATACGTATTCACCCTTTTGTCCACTCTGCTCGTTTTCATTTTCTCTTTTGTCTGTTATACCTGCTCACCCGACTACCATGGGACACAGAACCTACCCGTAAGACTTTGGAATACACTTCCACCAGATCTCCGCACTACAAACTCTCTGGGAAACTATTGCTACTTCCCAGGGTGAAAGTATTGCTACTAAACACCAGCAACAGGACAGTAATGCAACTGTTTGTATGCTAGTGAACAACTGAAATGTTGGCAACAAAGCGCCTGGTGACAGAGCTGTTCACTTGAATTTGTGGACAGTTTAGCTTAGCACCTAACAGCACAGTTGTCTACAGGCTTCTGTGCTTCTATGTTTTTTTAATCACATCTGGCACCAAGTCAGCCTATTATACAGGGACCCCGCCTGACATGGGCATCATTTAGCCAACCTGTAAGGGCTCATTTTCCTGTCTTTACTGTCCTATGTACTAAAAGCCCAAAAAGGTAAAACCTAAAATGAAAAATGGAAAGCAACCAATGTAAAACAAAAACAAATCAAGTAAAAACATAATATCCACAAAGGTTTGAAAAATGGCCACATGCTATGCAGGTGGGTGAGGGGTAAATCTTGTTCCTGAGGGGCAGCTGATCACAATAAAGCCTGCTTAAAGGAAAACAGCTAAAACTTCCTGAGGCCCATCACCGCATCTCATAAAATAAGGATTATTTTAAACTGTGAGTCAAGCACAAAGCTACTTCAGTAGAGTTCAAGACAAAAAATGTGGAGCTCTCTAATATATAAATCAAAGGTTATTTGTAGATTATGTTAAGACCAAGTGAATGTGTCTGGCATTCTTCCTTCTGAACAGAACCCATGCTTGATGTACTTCAGCCAGTGTGCTTGTATTGTCCTCAATTTATTTTAAAGTAAACGACAAGCCTTTCACATGCCTACACTTTAAAGTTAATAAACTCATGATAGCTGGAATATGTTACATTTTGCAAGATAAATGAGGGTTTGCTTTGCTGTTAGCCAGAACCACGCTGTGTGGCCTCACAGTTTAGTGAGGCTGTAAATTAACCTGTTTCTCATTTAGCCAATGTAACCGATGGGTTTATTTTGGTATATTTTTCTAACTTTGTTTAATTCCCTCCCTGTGCTGAAACCACACACAGATTGAAGGTGCAACAAAGACATCTCTTTACACCCCGCCAGGAATTTGAAATAAAAAAATCTCTCTTTTACTAGTACCTCTAGACTATTGTGGTCTGTTGTCTGACCAATCACTCTGTGGTGTGCCGTGATTTCCCTTAACCCATCAGTGGCCACTGTCAGCCGTTCTTTTTTTTTGGTTTGATATGCATGGATCCCGAAGGATGAAACCGGCTGACTTTGGTGATCCTCTGACTTTTCCGCTCACACCACAAAAGAGGTTGACATTTATGGTTCAGTCTGTACCATAAATGTCAACTATCTGATGGATTGCCTTGACATTTCCCGGAGATATTTCAGGTCTGCAGAGGATACAGTGTAACAACATTAATGATTCCATCACTTTACACAGTACTGTGGGTTAGAAGTAGATGGCTGCAAAAAAGATGACAAAAAAAGCCAATCAATTACTCTTTTTTTTTTTTAATGCACAGAGTCAAAAAGCTTGTCTGGCAAGCAAAGGTATATTTACTCATGAACAACAATGATTTTTCCTTCGAACCTGCAATGCTTTAGTGACATGATAGGGATCAAATGTTTCTCAGAAACACTGATCGAGGGAAACAGTAAAATCACACACTAATACAGCTCTGAACAGTCAGATACAGTCCCAGTGTCTGTGGAATCATGCACTGGGACATTAGCTAGGATCTTTTGGGTGGGGAGATGGGGCCACCATGGATCAGGCTTGTTCCACAGACCTTTGATTGGATAGGGATCTGGGGAGTTTGGATTCTCGGTCAGTGCCTTATGCTCTTTGTTGTATGCCCGGAGCCATACCGGAACAGTTTTTAGACCGTGGCAGGAGGAATTGTTAAAAAATGTTTAAGCAGCTGGCACAAAGCAGCAGTTTATAGGGCTGAAAAATGAAGCAAACTCAGAGCTTCAAAAAACTGAAGTAACTCAAATAGCCACTTTTACGTTGGCCCTAAGAGGTCAAACAAACTGGAACTTACAAAACACAAGCAACGAGAAAAACGCTACAAAAGCTCACAAAACATAATTTCAATAAGACACAATGGAAATAGAAACAAATTGTGCAAAGCTCACACCAAAAATCAATCAATAAAAGAATTAACTTTTTTCTTTAAATCACAAAACTAAAAGGAAGTGTTTTTGGGGAGACGATAATGTGATGGAACTGCTGCGAAAGTGACGGCTAATAGCAAACATGTATCGAGAGTATTATGCGAGTTATGTGATTGTAACAAACACTACAATGCAACATTTTCTCCCTCAAATCACTGATGAATCTTCCCCTTCTTTTACATGTGTTTCGTTTCAACCCTACACATGTTTTGGTTTCTGTCACTTCTGCAGCTGTTCAGTCACATTATTGTCGCCGTAAAGATATTTTGTTGTGTTTATTTTCATTTCAGTTGTGTGTTTTTGGACAGTTTTTTTTTTTCCATTTGCTGGTGTTTCCTTACATCACAGTGCATTTGACCTCTCACTGGCACCACACCCTTGAGCCTGCCTATGAAATTGAGTCAATCTGTAGAGAGCTCCTATTGGCTACTCCCTTTAGGGGTTGCCACAGGGGATCATCTGCCATGTCACCCTACCCTAGCATCCTCCTCTGTCACTTTAACCCTGTCATCTTTCACTACATCTATGAGTGTTCTCTGTGAACTTCCTATATACCCCCTGCTGACAGCTCCATCTTCAACATCTTTTGTCAAGTATATCCACTATCTCCAGAGCTTCATTCAAAAAATACTGGTGGTCACCAGTGCTAAACCTTTAGACACCTAGCAGATGGATAAATGGATGTTTGAAAATCATATGCTATTTTCTGAAAGTTGACCACTGACCTTGCTATTAAAGTCAGTGTTACCAAGATGAAAACTCCCAGAGGTTTTCAGCAGATGCAAATACAGTATTGAATGACTTTAAAAATCCTACATCGCCTCACAAACTTGGGTATCCACACCACCTGCAATCAGCTCTCTGCTGGACCTCACTTCTGCCTTAAAACTGGACCCAATGGGCACCGTGACTACATTTGTCTTTTATATACCGTCTGTGAGCGTTAAAGTGAAATACACACAAAGCCAAGATTTCCCAGCTAAACTGTGCATTTAACTAGATGCTCCAAGTTATTCACTTCACCTGTCAGTGGTCCAAGTCACACAAAAGTACTAGTTAAATCCAAGAACATGCTATAAATATCCAAAGCACAGAAAGCACAAAACATACCTTGAGTGTTTAGATAATAGTGTTTCCAGAGGGGTCTGAGCTTGTGCTTCCCACCCACATCCCAGATGGTGAATTTTAGGTTCTTATATTCAACCGTCTCCACATTGAAACCTTGAACAAAGATCAAAAGCAAGCTTTATATAGGCTAATATAAAAAAAAAAAGAAAGACTTGTATTATCCTGACTCTAAAGTGACTCTGTGAACCATTAAACTGCAAGTGCATTTACCAATGGTTGGGATGGGCTGCATGAACTCGTCTTGTTTCAGCTTGAATAGGATGGTGGTTTTTCCAGCGCCATCGAGCCCCAGAGTCACTACGCGGATCTCCATCTTTGGACCAATGTGGACCCTGTTGTCCTGAAAAGACATTTTCAGTGTCATTACTACATTTATAGGAAAACCCAAGGCCTTTCCATTTTTTGTGAAACATTTGGTTTACAGAAGCAAATTTCTATGAGCAGCGACAGCGTGTACCTTAGTGAAGGTGACTGGGATGCCGGCATCCAGCTGAATGTGATCTGCCAGCTCAGTGAACTGGTGTTGCTGCTTCTGAAGCGTCTCCAGCAAACAGTTGATCTCCTGCTTTGCCAGAACAACTCTGCAGTCGTCCTAAAAGACAAAAGAAGCAACGCACATCACACCTTTAACGGCATTACGCAAGCATTTCCCCAAAATCACCACAGCTTTGATCTTAATTGGGGTGAGGAAAAGAAAGAAACAAGTTCCTAAACTCACCAGTACTCCTCACATCTCCTACCTGCTGAAGTGTTTTCTCACAGTGCAGGCAGGCGGTGGACACCTGAGACAGCAGGATGGTCATATCCTCCTGCTGCTGCCTCAGCCAGATGAGCCTCTCCCTTACATGGGCGTCCACCACGCTCAGCGCCATCTCCTCCTGCCGACACAGGGTCTCGTGCAGATCTGCAAAGTAAGCTCGGACGCAGGAGCGGGCGCTCTCTGCTGTGCCGGGGACCTGAAGCACACATGGGAAAGATCTAAGAGCCAAAACAGAAGCATGATCATTCGTGTTTTATTAAGAAGCCCTTTGTCTTACATGTTCAGTGTGTGCCATGCCTACTCCATCCTCAACTATCTGCTCGCCACCTTCTATCTGCTGCACGATGCCCACCAACTTCCTCGAGTACTCAGACACCTCCTCTGTGAAGGTTCGGATACAGTGGGCCATGTCCAGAATGGATGCACGAATCTGATTGGCTTCAGTCTCAAGAACAGCATGCTGTTAGGGAAAATAGGGCAATATAATATATATATAACCATATCTTTTTCAGTGACTATATCTAATATGGGAACAAGTTTTCCAGCTACCTTATGGCCCTGGTGCTTGCCGTACTCCTTACATACACAGCACATGAGGGGCCCGGACTGACAAGCTTCCTCCAGGCAGACAAACTCGATGGCATGGACCTGATGCTGAGGGCACAAGGTCTTCTCGTGGGGCTTATCGGCCAGTGGCACCCGCCGGTGTTTGGCCAGTGTGCGAGTGGAGTGGGTGAGCTGAGAGCACTCGCCACACAGGTGGGTGGCACACACGGTACAGTACATGGAGGCTGTGTGGCTCTCATCCTCGTCGCAGCGAATTATACACTAGTTTATAAAAAGATGGATTGAGGATAAAGCATGCAGAAGGTGTGAAGGTGACACATCTCTTATCAGTAAAATCATAGCTGCCTTACTTCTCCCATGCCTTTCAAGGCGTCCTCTGCCATTCCTGACTGGTTAGTCGCTCCATTCTGGAGTCTCTCCAAGAGTTCAAGCAGAGCAAAGTTTTTCTTTAGACCCCAAACTCCAGAGTCCCCTAAGCAAATGTGAAGAAAGCAAACTCACTTTGAAAGGCAAATAATGCAAGCACTGTAGAGCTCCATGCCCTCAAAAACACCCTTAGCCTCAACTGGATGATGGATTTCTGCAGCAAGAATAATGTCTTCTGTAATAAAGACAACTTCAATTTTTCACAACTTCTGGGTAAAAGTCTCTTTTTTTAATGGGGCTTGCATGAAGTCAAATAAAGAGAAATGTGCAGATCACAGGATGTTGTTCTAAGGTTCTTAGTTGGTTTTGAAAGCTCTTTTATGCTCTTGTTTTTAGAAGAACGATCAGTCTCAGGATTCAGCCACTGAATTTCACTTACAACGATTTATATAGCAGGTATTACACATATAGTGTCCGCTATATACACGATGCTGGAAAGCGTGATGACATCACTCACCCAGCTCAGTGACCTGCCTGTCAAAGGGGCAGCGGACCGCTCTGCCATGGAGGGGCAACCGGGTTAGACAGTCATGGCACACCGTGTGGCCGCAGAGCAGAAGACGAGGGACCTTGTCCCCCTGGAGAGAGAAGACATCCTCACAAACACCACATTCCAGCACCTGCAAATAAACCAATACCAGTATTAAAGCACCCGCTCACAGGAGGGTACAGATGCTTCTGGGTTACTGCAGAGAGATGCTCTATAAGGTCTCAGACAGAACAATAACTAGTCGGATGCAGTCATCTTGACCTGTAGCGTTACAGCTGGATAACACTTCTGATTTCTACTTTCAGTGATCTTTAAGTGAATACATTGAAAGCAGTACGAAAAGCATCTTCTGACACGATCACACTCTGAGCTGGGCTCCCTCACAGAGGAGCTGCAGCAGTGAACCACAGCTAGCACTGACGCCAACTACCGACGGAAGACCAGCCAGCTCATCTGCTAGCATGATGCGGGCACAAATACCAGCCATGTCAACGTGCACCAGTCTAAGTTTATAATGCAGCGCTAAAAAAAAGAGATCGTCTTGTGAAACAGTGTTTACACATGACTCTGGTCCGATCTATAAAATAAAGCTCTGACATCCTCCTGCCAACGACGCCAACGCAGCAGCGTTCGCCCAAAATCAAAAGCGTCAGAGGCAAGCCTGATGTCGGTCATTCGCTCAACATAACAAAATAGCCAAACACCACCGATCGACATGTAGTTGGATCTAAGATTGCAGTGACAACATTACAACCTTAACCGTGCTCCCATTAGCTCCTCTCCCGTGTCGGATACAGGGCTCCATCGTCGCTACGGCGCCCTGCTTGTTTATTCCTGCTGCAGCAGCGGCCATTCTTGGACGACGGCGCAGAGACCCGAGCAGGTTTGAGAGGACAATCCCCAGAAGCACTTCCGGTTTTGTTCTTTTTCGCTCTTTCAGCATCTCTACTAGCATAGGCTACAGTGCCTATATATTCACAGTCATTTATGTTCAATTTACGAAAAAATACCCTGCCCCCCAAAATAACCAGGGGCGTTTGAAAATAACTGAGTAGCGGCAAGATTTTCTCCTGGAAAGAGTTTTTAAAATTAATATGGGTTTTTAAAACACGGATTTAAAATCTTAAATGAAGACGTGACGGACAACTGAATAATGTAACTTTTTAAAACATACTTATTTATTTTATTTTATTTTTGAGAGGATTACGTATGAAACGCATGACAATGACGTATTTTTGGCGCGTCACGCTTGGCTCAAACAGAAGCAACTAAACGTTGAGCATTCCGCTCGTAATGGTAGGTATAATTTTAATTTTAAGGAATCAGGCGTTTGCTGTGTTAATCATTTAAGTCTCATTGTGGTTATATTTTTGATAAATTTTGATATTTTTGATTCGGAGAGGAAGTTCACTTACGCCGTGTTTCTCATTGTTTACGCTGTATTATCTTTTAGTCATTGCACCTTATTTTACTTTCTTATTTAATCTAACCCCTCAGTTCATTAGTGATGTCTCAACAAGCACAACAAACGATTCCTTCCGCCCCTGACTCCCCTGCGCTGGTTGTCACATCTAACGTGCAGAAATATGCAATAAAGAAGAAGAAAGTCCTCAGCGCCGAAGAAATTGAGCTGTTCGAACTTACTCAGGCTGCAGGAATCACTGTGGATCAGGAGGTTTTTAAGTATGTCTAATAATAGCCTTATCTGTGGGTTACATGGAAGACCATGGTTTTATGTCCTCACCCCCTTCCTCCTCCTCACAGAATCATAGTGGACTTGCTGAAGATGAATGTGGCTCCTCAAGCAGTCTTCCAGACCTTGAAGGCAATGTGTGCAGGACAGAGGGTAGCTGAAAGCTGTGGTGGAGACCCTTCAGCTGGCGCCCACACCACAAGCATGACCACAGCGCACACAGAAGCCAGAGGTTAGTATCTGAAGAATGGGATGTAATGCAACTGAAAGTATATGTATATTTGTCATTTAAATGTTGACTATCTTTCAGCTCACATAGTCTACCTTCTTTTAACTAAGAAACATTGCAGAAATCAGGCTGGGAAGTTTTAGTCTCCCCATTTATACTGCCTTATTGTAGTCCGTTCCTGTTTTCCCCCTCTGTTGGGTCCTCGTAACCCACCATTGGTCAGTCCAGGATGCAGCAGCCACAAACACTAGTTAAGATTCAGATATCACCCCCTAGGTCACAATTGACTTTGGAAAAGAGGGCTGTCATTTGTCACCTACAGTTTAACCCTTTGAAAGTCAGAAAAGTTCAGGATGTGTTTTGCTCTTTTTAATCATTGTGGGTTCATATTTTTGGCAATATAAAACCCTGCACCTTTAATGAAAGCCAAGGCTAGAAGGAGAAAGAACTCATCACTGTTTTTTGTAAAGTGTAGCATAGTTATGCCACAAATCATTATTATATTAGCATAAATCATGTATGTCGTTTTTTTTTTAAAAATCGATATATAAACTATTGTTGTATAAACTATCAAAATTCCCAAATCTCAGTCTAATCGAACATCTGTGAGATATGCTGGACAAAGAAGTCCGATCCATGGAGTCCCCACCTCACATCTTAAAGGACTTAAAGGGTCTGTTGCTAACCTCTTGGTCCCAGATACCAATGCACACCTCTAGGGCGTCTAGTGGAGTCCATGTGGACCAACACAATATTAGGCAGTTGGTGATAATGTTATGCTTGATTGGTGTATGATCTGGTGGGAATGGACAACATCAAAGGTCCAAGAATAGAACATTAGGGAAGAGGACTGGTCAGAGGGGATCCTAAGACCAACCTACTTTCCAATGCAAACAAGCCCAGTTGTTGGTAACAGTAATTTCTGATAACAACAAGCGTGTGTGTGGCTACAGATATGATTTTTGATGCAAAGACTCAGAATGTTAAAGTTTTTTTTTCTAACAATTTATGTTATATCCTTTCTTTGCTCCTCTCTTTGCTTTTTAAGTGTGTGAAATAATCACATTCCTCCATTTAAGTTCTGTACGTGCTATAGCAGAGGTTCTGTGCTGCACTCTTCCCTTACCCCACCTCACTAACTAAATCCAATCTTCACTTCACCCCACACAGCACAGTTTTCCACATAAAAGGAGGGCATCTGAAGACAGGCATAGTCATGCAAACTCATCTACAAATTGCTCATCCTCACTGTGTTGCAGGCTTTTCTGATTTCCTCTCTATCCGTCAGTTCTTTCCTTTCTGTCTTTTTTTCTGTGTGTCTTGTTTCCTGAAGAAGAGGACTCTTTGGCCTCTGGAAAGAGTCCTAAACCTGCCGCAGCTCCCCCCACAGCAGCAGGCCCCAGAGCCACAAGGGTCAACACTAAGATTGTGGTCTACGGCCCCCAAGACACTAGTTCTCCTCACTCTCAAGGTCCCTTTTGCTGCACTCTGTCCATCACCTCCATCTGCCCACTTGCTTGCCTTTCTCATTAACAAAAGTTGTATTTATGTGCCATTTGATATGGAGCAGGATTTTGGAAAACAAACTGCATGCTGTGCTTTCGTCATATGTGCATGCATGCAATTGTGTGTGGATCGCAAAAATTGAATTTGCCCTTGGATGTTTTCATACTCAAGGAGATTTATTCACCGTGCAGTGGATTTTTTCCCCCTTTGTTTTTAAGTGGCTAGAAAGTTAAAAAAGAAACTCTGAAGTACTCTTTTTATTGACTCTTTTACACAAGAGTAGCTTGAATTTGCAAGTTTAAAAAAAAGTCTTTTATGTTGCTGTGTGATGGTTAACCTGTGACGGAACAAGAAAAGAGGATCTTGACTTGGTTCATACAATATGCACTTACTGAGTTCTATTTTCAGGATTTCACTTACTGAAGAAGTCTACTTCAGTATAAATGGTCAGAAACTTAAACTTGACAAATAAAGCAGAGAAAAGTTTGCGAACACCAAGCTTTTTATGACTTTTTAAATAACAGATTAAACATTTGACTTGCTAAGAACCTTAACCCTAAGCAACCCCAGCAGCTTGATTTTGTATTTCTAAATGGTTACATCAGTTTAGTGATATATATATATATATATATATATATATATATATATATATATATATATATAACTTTAACATGAAGAAGCAATTTCAAAATAAAAAAGAATGCTAAAATCTGTGATTATAGTACAAATGGAGAGTATAAACGCTATAGAAATACTTTTTTGTAAAACAAAAACAATGAACAATATCACTATCAGCTGGAACAATATATTTTTTTTCCCCTGTATTATTATTTTTGCTAAGGCTTATGGGATATTGCTGCCCTCCCACCCAGCTCGGTGGGTGGGAGGGCAGTGTAGCTGGGTGGGAGGGCAGTGTGGGCACTTAAGTTTGTGAATGCAATAACTTGAGAACGAAGTGACATAGCACCTTCAAATTGATACCATAGGTGTATCTACTAAAAATCTCGGGTGAGTTTTAATCTCACTAACCTTGACCTAAAGGTTTTTCAAGAATATAATGACGTAGGGCTTTGAAATTGATTTTGTAGGCATGTCTTCTAAGAATCTGAGGGGTAGTACTGGTAATTTCCAGTATTTTTAAAGTGGTCTTAAGAAATATTGCTCCAGGCTTTCTAAAGGTCCTTCAGAGTTTTTCTTTGACTGCTTTTTCACTCCTTTTCAGTCCAGTCCTTGTAGTTGATCATCTTTAAAGGTGTGATTTATTTATTTTTCTTTCCTGTTGAGCCAGTTGAAACTGACCTGTAAAATATTCAAGAAAACAATTCTTTGTCTGGACCTTTAAAAAATGCCAAAGTTAATATTGGAGAAGTGAAGGACAAAACAAGAAGTTGGCGGGTCCGAAAACTGTCTGCGGTACATGGACAGTATCTTACAGTCATGTGTCTTTGCTAAGACATAGCAAAGAGTAGATGGATCAGCTGAAGGGCCAGATCCACCTCTCAGGTCCTGTGTCAGTTCTTTCTGGAACGTTTTCCCTGAAGCCTCATTTGAAATATGCTCAGTGGAACGTGTGGCCATCAAGAAGCCATTCTTAAGGAAGGGAAACAGAGAAAATGCAGAGGTATGCCATATTTCAAAAGACCTAGACTGAAAATCAGTGGCATCAGGTCTTATAGAGTGATGAATCAAATGTGAAACTTTAAATAATCGTGTCAAAATATTCTCTTGAATTGAGAACATAGAAAGTACCGTCAGTTTTTGATCCCATCTGGAAAGCTAAAAGAAAGAAAGAAATCTAGCTCGCAACAGGTTTATTTTTCCCACATGGCAGTGAGCCCAGACATACTGCCAATGCACACAATCATACCTGGATAGAAAAACACAAACTAGAATACAAATCGGTCATGGATTGGCCTTCCTAAAACTCTGACCTCACCATTATTGAAGTGGTATTGAATCATCTCGACAGAGAAGAAAACAAATGTTCTTCAGAAGCCTAGAGAAATGTTCTTGAAGACTACTTAAATAAACGGCTAAAGAGAGTTCGGGTTGTTCGGGATCTCTATTCTTCAGTTGTGCTGAAGAATAATAAAATAAAATAAAATTTAAAAAAAATTATTTTCTTCCTTCACCAGTAAAATAGTCAGGTCTCTCGACACATGCTATATTTGCAGTTCATAATTTCTGAGGGCACTTTTTCGCCACTTCATAGTTAGTGCGCAGTGCTGTTGTGACATACTGTCAAGTATATAAGAAAACGAGCTGTTTTATCAGCTGCACTTTCTCATTCCCCGTCATTATCATTTCCATTTTGCATGGTATATGCGAAGCAGTCCTATAACAGTTACCTAAACATTTATTTCCTCCTTTCCCTGAGTGCATTTTCTTTTTTGCTTCGTTTCAGGAGTGCGCAGTAAAGCCGGTACCAGCCACAGTGAGAAGAGCAGGGAGGCTTCCAGCCAGAGAGTGC